AACAGGAAACTCCAGCTCCCAAGAGGGAAAGTGTGTTGCTTCAAGTCCCCGGACTGGAATGTGGGTATTCCAAAGCCCAACCCCGTTCTCTGTCTTTGCCCATCTCCACCTGGGGACAGGATTAAGGAGAGGGTATTCAGATGAGGGTGGGGAAGGCGCTAAAGGGGCTGTCAAGACCCACACGTGGTATATCCACTGTTTCCCCTTCCTCAGGGCCCCTAGGAACCTCTGGATATGAGGGGCCCATGACACTCACAGGAGAGTCCAACTTCTAACTGGAGGGTGTGGGGAGGGAAGGAATCCTCTGGGTCTCATATCATCTCAGCCACAAAGCTAGGGGTTCAATATGGCTTGTAGATTCCCTGTCATGGGCTCTGTATGTCCCCCACCACTCCAGAGCTCCATAACAAGAAAACAAACAGCTGTGGGAACAGGTGCCAAGGAAGCCATAGTGTTGGAAGGGAGCCCAACCTTAGAGAACTGGTAGGGGCACCGGAAGGAAGCACAGTGATGTTCTACTAAGCATCTGGCAATGTAATCCTGGGTAAGCAAAAGTGCAAGGTGAGGCAGCCTGGATTTTGAGGTCTTGCCCCACTCCTCACTAGCTGTGCAATCTTAGGCAAGTGAGTAAACTGCTCTGTGCTCCAGATTCCATCCCTATAAAACAGGCATAGTAACATCCTTGGGGCATGTTGTGAGGACCGCCTGGTGAGTGGTGAAACACTCAGCCCTGTGCTTGGCACAAGGTGGGTGCCCCATCAGTGTCCACTGTTTTCACTCTGCCAGAGCCTCCTATGTATGTAGTGTGGGAATAAAAGAAAAACTGGTTGAAAAGTTGTCTACACAATTTCTCTGGTGTGGAAAGAACTGTCACTTATATGTTGGGATATTGGGAAAGCCTGTGGCTGATACCAAGGTATCCAAAAACATTCTACAAAATAAAGGCAGAGTTTGTGAGGAGAAAAGGGGAGGGTGGAAGTGAAAACAGGAGGAAAAAACAGAAGGAAAGAAAGTTAGTACACAGGTGGTGGAGGGCTGAACCCCAGGGCGGGAAGCTGTCCCTTGAGAAATTCCCAGTGGCTGGAGTGGCAGAGGTCTTACGAGAACAGAGGGACCTAGTACTCAATGTGCATCATCTCTGTGATGGAAAGCACTGCCCCACCAACTTCTCTGTGTACCCTAAATGGTGTGGCAAACATAGTTATCCACAGAGGTGGGGTGCTGTTGGAACTGAAGGCAAAGGTGCCTGTGTTGTGATTTGGGCAAATATGCCACATTACATGAGCATGTGTGAGATTCAAAATGTGGCAGGAGCAGAAAATTGGAACAAGAAATGAGAAAAAGCCCAGAAGCCCAGGGCTCTCCCTAGAGCCCTACCTTGGTTCCTCACCCTAGTGAGATGGGACAGAGTAATTTTATTTGGGGATGAAAGAACAGAGTGGACTCTGTGTCCAAAGGACATAGGCCCAGCCAGGGGACAGACAAGGGTCGTGTTTGCTGTCCCATGTCACCCTCTTGGTGGCTCTGTGTGTGGCTTCTTATTAACTATTTTCTAGGTGAGAGGAGAAGGATGTGGGGCAAGGCTCTCCTCCCTGTGCTATTCCTGGCCCACAGGAATGGGGCTTCCTGCTGAACCCCCAGAATGGTCCACTGTGTCCTAAGCACAGTGGAATCAGTGTGAGCTGGAACGCTGCTAGTGACCAATCTCCTGACTGGAATGGGAAGCTTGTGTTGGGACTCAGAAATCCCTTCATTACAAAGAGGCTTGATTTCCTGTGGTTAATCTGCAGCTAAGTGTCACTGTGTGTTAAGGTACCTTAGCCCTGCTTCCTAGGCTCTGGGCTGCTGCTGGTTTCCTGCTCATGATGTATGATTTGCATTAGCCGGCAGGGGGCATTCTGGAAAGTGTCTAGCTTCTGCCGTTGTCCACCCCAGTGACAAACCACATGCTACCTCTGGAGCTTCCTTCTAGGGGTTTCTGGGAGATGGCTCCCCCCCTGCTGGATGTCTTGCAATGGCTTTTCAAAAGGAGAAAAGTGCTGCTTGTGTCTGTTTAAGAGGGGCTTATTGGGGAAAGGAGGTTGTGGCTACAGATTTCCTCAAGATTATTGTTAGACTTTTTTCTTCTTCTATATTTACATACTGAATCAAAGCATGATGAAGTGTCAAAGCTGGAACGACCCGTTCATTTCATTTTAGCACATAGATACACAGAGATACATACATTTTAGCACACAGATGCCCAGAGATACACAGAGTGCTGGGATGAAAATCAGTTCTGGAGCCCAAGTAATATGCTTTCCACCTCACCCTACTACTGTGTCTACAGTTTGCCAAGTGAAGAGAAATGTAGATGTGCATTATAAATAGGAGACAGCCAGAGACTACACATAGCTGGTCACTAACATTTCATGGCCAAAGCACATCATACAGGGAACACAGAAGAGTCCTGGATTCTGATCCCTGCTCTGCCATCAGCTCCTTGGATGACCTTAAGTGAGTCACCTTGATGGCTTGGACCTCAGATTCTCACCTGCAATATAGAAATAACAACCCCCGTGTGGTTTGCTCACAGGAGTGAGGCTAAATCAATCCAGGGGAGGCATGGGAAGATCCTTAACAAAAGTTTCATAGCCCTGGTGGGGATTATTATTATCATTTCTAAAATCTGGGTGCAGAAATATGGAATTGTCAGCTGAGGGTGGTTCTGGATTAGTGTATATTCTGACACAGTGATGGCCAAGATAAGGGATTTGATAAGTGACCTAGTTCATGGCTCCCACAATTTTGTGTTTCATAGACCAAAGAATATTACCCCCAAATGAAAATTCAGTGACCAATGTAGAGTAGACAGCTTTTGATTTTGTCTATTGTGCCCACTAAAACAAAACAAAATAACTCAACTTGCATCCATATCAGCTTCGTATTGTATAAGAAAGAACATTTTAATGCTTTAGGGAAGGATGTACTCTTAGAGAAAATAGTGCCCCTTACATTAAAAATAGTTGGCTATGAGAAAAAGGGGCTACCTTGTCCTTCTTCTTCCTATTTCACTCTGGACTGGTGAAAAACATCATAGGGACAAAACCAGCAGTTAGAGCCCCCTGTGCTTGGCAAACCCATGATGGGCAGTGCTCTACAGGTGCAGAAACCAAGATCCAGAATGGCTGAGGTCCCATTGCCTAATCAATACTATCCTCATCATTGAAGTATGTTCCTGTTACAGATGACTTCTCTCTCTCAAGAAATGAGAAGTTCTGGGGTGCCTGGGTGGCGCAGTCGGTTAAGCGTCCGACTTCAGCCAGGTCACGATCTTGCGGTCCGTGAGTTTGAGCCCCGCGTCAGGCTCTGGGCTGATGGCTCAGAGCCTGGAGCCTGTTTCCGATTCTGTGTCTCCCTCTCTCTCTGCCCCTCCCCCGTTCATGCTCTGTCTCTCTCTGTCCCAAAAATAAATAAACGTTGAAAAAAAAATTTAAAAAAAAAA